TGCAGAACCCCAGAAGCTGCATGGCCCAGAAGCTGCAGAACCCCAGAAGCTGCATGGCCCAGAAGCTGCAGAACCCCAGAAGCTGCATGGCCCAGGCTGCCTTTGGCGCTCCCTTCCTTATGGTTCCTGCTGACTGACTTTCTAGAAAAACCACAGGGTGCTGTGCTTTCTCACACACAGACTTTGTCTGTCCACCTGTAGTCCGTCTGTCTACCCTTGAGAGCTCCTCTCGAAGCCTTTGCCAACGCTCCCACAAGTGCTTTCCTTTCCTCCCTTGCCACTGGCTCTGGCATCCTACGGTCATGTGGCAGGCGGTCACCGCGTCTCCTCTTCGCCAGCCTCAGCTGGATGTCTGTAAACCTGATGTGATATCCCATGGATGGCGTCATTCACCTACCAGTCACCAAGACAGAAAAGCAAAACCAAGCCAAAGCACCGGGAAACGAGGGGGCAGGTAAGACGACGGGGACTTTCGGGCCCTGGGGGTTCCGGGTCCCAGAGCCCGCGGGGAGGGACGGGCGGGCGCTCACCTCCCAGCACCATGCCGGCCTGGCAGCACTTTCTAAGGCGGCAGGCCGGGCAGTTCTTCCTGCGGATCTTATCCACAATGCAGTCATTTCGCCCGGCACATAAGTAGTTATGTTGCCCTGAAAGCAGACAGAAAGTCAGAATTATTCACGGCCTTTGCAGCGCAGGTGAGTGGACAGTGGGTGGACGCACTCGGGGAGCTGGTGACCCCACCGGCCAGACCGCCCGCCCCTCACCCAGGCCTCGAGGCCAGAGGGAGGCAGTCAGTACTACGCCATTTAAACGTGCGACTAAGTGTGCAACCAAACAAAACACAGTGTGTGTCCATCTAAAAGACTAAGGAGCTTAGAAGCTCAGCATGGAAGGTTCCAGTGGGGGGGGGGGGTTCTGGGTGACATCACAGCCTCGAAGGGAGACCCGGCCCACGAGGGGAGCCTGGAGCCCAGTCCATTCTCCACCATGGCCATCGCCGACAGGCAGAGTCAGGCCTCAAGACCCACCAAGGAGAAGCATCGTTGTGCAAGCAGAATGCAGGGGCTGCTGGGGGGCGGGGGTGGTTAGTTCCTGGAGAAACACGATGGATCAAGGACTGGGGAGGAAATGTAGGACTGGAGCTTGGGCTGCTTGGGTGTGGAAAGCATCCGTGTGTCCACGGGCTGGGGCGGGCCCTGGACCGGGAGCGGCCGAGGATGGCTCTGCCTCCGGGGGAGGTTCCATGTGACTGGGCGATGGCATGGTGGGGCTGTGGGGGCCTCGCGAGTGGGCCTGTGATCAAAGCCCAGCCGGTCGGGCTCGCCCCACCAGCCCACCACTGGAGCGGCCCCAGGACGGAGCCCCCACACCTCTCTCCTCTGTCATTCACCCAGCCCAGGGAACCCTGTGGTCAGCCACAGGAAGTGGACCGAGGCTGGGCGGAGAGGGGACACGGGAGAAACTTCAGGGACGGAGCCCAGGGAGTGTCCGACCGGCAGGAGTGCAGGTGGCGCGGCGCAGCGGAAGGCAGGATGCCGGAGACTGCACAGCACACACCCGCCAAGTCAAAAATTGATCATTAGAGGTAACTCGTTAAGCGTTTTAGGCTTGTGTCATAAATTGTATTTTCGGGTTACACAACTGACTCAGAGAGTTGGGACAGCACTATAAAAAGAAAGTTTTAGAGCTGATAAAAATCAGGATGGGTAATAAAAGTTAAAACGGCCTCCTTTGCTGTCCTGATGAGCTGACAAGCGCTGTGCAGTCCACAGGAACGCAGGCAGGCCTGGGCTTTACGACACACATCCCTCCGTGGGGGTGCGCAGCCTCTGCTGCCCGGCCTGCATGTGGGGGGCACGGGAGGGGGCAGGGGTGCAAACAGGAGAGCCAGAGGCCTCTGCCAGAGCGACCCCAAGACCGTGACACAAGGCATTTCCCCTTTTTGCTGACAAGGGGAGCACATGTTATCTTTCTTTTAGAATAACCAGGAAGACTTCAACATGTATCTTGTCAGAGATTCAGAGCCTGTGCAGGACCATTGCGTTAATAATTGCGGGCAGCGGCGATCGCAACTTCTCTGGAGGTTACTATTCTTCTAACGCTGTTATTTGGTTCGGGAAGTTAACACCTAATGGGTCTGCTGTTTTTTAAATTATATACATATAAAGAAATCAAAGTTTCAGAGAATGGTCATCTCAAAAACAATCTGATCTACCCTAAGGTTAAGCTGGTGGTGTCTTCTAATGTTTTTCCCAGGCTGGCCTCAAACTGTGATCCTGATCTCTGCCTTCCCAGAAGCCGGGATTGTAAGTGTGAGCTGCCACACCTGGCCCCTGCCTGACATTTATTGTCTGTAAGGAATGAGTATTCTCACTGGGTTTGATTTTGTTTTAGTTTATTTTTTAGAAGCACTATAAATGGATTAGTGAGCTGCTCTGTGTTCATCCTACATGTTATCAAACACCAAGTATTCACACCGAATACACCCAACAAAGTATTCATACTGTATACACCTGTCGAAGTACTCACACCATAACCTGACAAAGAATTCACATCAGATACACCCAGCAAAGTATTCACACCATATACACCTGACAAAGTATTCACACCAGATACACCCAGCAAAGTACTCACACTGTACACAACAGGCAAAGTAGTCACACCATATACACCCAACAAAGTATTCACACTGTACACAACAGGCAAAGTAGTCACACCATATACACCCAACAAAGTATTCATACCGTATACACCTGGCACCAAGGCAGCATCCACCAGTCCCTACATCATGAGAAAATGATCTCATCAGCATCCCACCTGCAATGCAGAGACAAAGATCGGCTTCCTATGAGCCTGCTGTGCTGGACACATGAGCTAAATCAGGGAAAGCGACCCCAGTAACTGGTCCCAGTAAAAGTAAGGGCAGAGCTCATCATTCCCGTGGCCCGCCCCTTCCCTCGCTGTGAGGGAAGCTCTCCAACCGGAGCTGCATGCCTCGCATCGAGTGGGAATCGAGAGGGATCTGATACGGATGCTAACGCCATTATTGCGGCTCGGCTCTATTATCTGATAGGCACACCTGTCAGACTGAAAAGCACCAGTGGGTCCAACACCTGGGCCTGAAAATCACCCGTCAGGAGGAGGCGCGAGCAAGACAGAGTCAGAACTGGAATTCGAATTACGATTGAGAAAGAAATGGAGAAGACTCAAAAGAGCTGTGCTGGGAAAGAAAAAACAGACAGGAATTCAGCAGGAAGATCTGGGTTGTGTCTTAGTTAAAGATGGACAAACAGCAGAATGTGTGAAGAGGAGAGGGCAGGAGAGGGCGGGAGGCAGAGGGGAAGCAGGCGTGGCCGCTGCAAGGCAGGGGGGGCCTGCGTCCGGTGCCCCGCCAGGAGCGCTGGCGTGGGGGGCGTGGCCTGCCCGGCTCTGCCTGGCACCGGTGGAGCTTGAGAACACGCCACTCGGGCTGATTGCTCGTGAAGCTGGCTCCCAGCTGGCAAGTGCGGGGCGCCACTGGCTCCCATCTGTAACCCTCGCTACTCAAGAGGCTGAGATCTGAGCACGGAAGCCAACCCAGGCGGGAACGTCTGGGAGACGCTTCTCTCCAATTAATCACCAAAAAAGCAGAAGTGGAGCTGTGGCTCAAGTGGTAAAGCTCTAGTCTTGAGTGGAAAAGCTCAGGGAGCCCCTAGGCCCTGAGTTCAAGTCTCACACACACACACACACACACACACAATTGGAAAGCAGGCTCATCAGCTGAAATGAGGGCAGAACATGTTGGAAGGTGGAGAAGAGAGGAAGTGAAGCCCGCCTGCTTCCCTCCCCCCACAGGACACCATGTGGAAGGAGTGGACAGACTGGCACCGACGCCTTTGTCATGAGAATCCTTTTCTATCACAATGATGCCTCTCCCCACCCTCAGAAATTCACCTAGCAAACTTCTACTTCCCCTGATACAATGAGGGTCTTTTGTTTGGCAAATACTTAGTACCGAGGGACACTAGCAAATAGGCAAGATACCACAGGACCTTACAGCAACCTGTGCCTGGCAGCTCACGCAAGTTCATCTCTTTAGGCTTCGTGGGAGCCATCCAGCATGGTGTGAGCACTTCATAAAAATTGTTACAAAACATGCTCTGAACCTCACTGGTGAAATTCCTGGAAAGATGAACAATTCAAAAAACCCTGCTTGCAAGTGTTTAAGTACATAGCTGTGAGACTCTGACCTCTCATAATACTTTTATAACAATAGAATCATTACTCCAACACTTGTTTTAAAATATTCTGTACATAACAAAGATGGCTTTCTGTTTAACTTGAAGAGATGGCATCCTGTCTGCTGAATGTCTTCTAAGCCCTATACTATTGAGACACTTGTCATCAGAGAAGAGGCGATTCAGAAAACATGTCCTTCTGCAAAATAAAACCACAGCCCATCTTTATATCTAAAGACTCCTTGCAAGTACTAGGCAGAGAAAACCAGCAACAACGGCGTGTGATCAAAGAGACTGCCACCGTCCAGCCAAGTGCAGTGGCTCATGGGTCCTAGTTTAAAGACAGGCCAGACAAAAAAAGTTAGCAAGATCTCACATCAGTAAATAAGCTGGGTACGGTTGCGTATGCCTGCAAATTCCAGTTACTTAGAGGGCTTGGAGGTGTAGGATCAGAGGCTCAGTCAGATTCTAAGCTAAAGCAGAACAGGTGTGTGGTTCAAGAGGCAGAGCACTTACCTCGCAAGTGAGAGACCTTGATTTCAGACTTCAGTACAGAAGAGAGGGGGTGGGGAGGGAGGGAGAGAGAAAGAGGACAGAGGAACAATTTTTTTATAGCACAGGAAACAGGTGCCTTCAAGAATATGTCTTTTCTATACATCTTAATTTTATTGACTCATTGAAAAGTGTTTTTTATATTTTCATGATTCAAACACAACCCAGCAACCATCAAAGCTCAGCCACAAAGCATCTAATGATAATGTTAGCTCACTTAAAATATAATTCTCTTCCCAGCGCCCCCCCCCGCTAGCTCCTAGCTCACAAGCAGAGAGGGGTGGGCAAGAAGCTGATCAGAGAAAGTGGGGAACCCCAGGAGGCTTAGCCGGTGCCAGGCTCCAGGTGGGCGTGCAGAGTGGGAGCAAGCGAGAGACGGTGCCCAGGAGGTCCAGGATGCTCACTGATGCTCACGCGTGGTGTGGAACCACTGCCACCAGATGGACTTCCAAGCCAGAGCTTCAACACCGGAGCCGCACGGCGCCGCAGCCTGCGTCTCACCGACGGCCCCAGCAGTACTTCATGCCGTGCAAACCAACACACCGGCAACTGCCCCTTCACACTTCCCAGCGGTTATTTACTGCATCTCCAGCAGTTTTCCAGTTGTGTATTGTTGCCTACCAACGTGTTCTGCATGTGGTATGTGTTATTTGATGGTAGAAAGAGCAGTAAGCTGGATACATGGATTTTTTTTTACCCACCATTATTATAGTCAGGGACCTGCAAAAGAGGATCCCTGGGTGGACAGAAATGTGTGCATGACACCAGCGCCTACCATGTGACTTTACAACAAACCATGTGACCTTATAGAAAACCTGTACCTGACCCCAGCATGTGACCTTACAACAACCAGGGGCTGACCACAGCATGAACCACGT